AGGGGAATTATTTAGAGACGTGGGGGTGCTCAGCACTGAGCCAGAAGCAGCCTCTGAGGGCGCGATGAGTCACACTTAGAAACGCCCAACACTGGGCCACTATGAAGCTATTCTCAGCCACTGCGGCACGAGTTCAATCCCCGGCCAGGGAGCTGCCCACATGGTGCAGCAGACCCCTCCTGTCTCCCCGCAGCAGTGGATTTCGTCAGTCCGCCTGTTCTGTTCCCCGCTCTGTCTCTGGTGAGTCCTCTCACCCCCCCACACCTCTGGCCTGTACCCCAGCTCCGGTATGCACAAATAAATAAATCTTGAAAAAAAAAAAATCTTTCTCCCATTGATCTTAAACTCTAATTCTCAGTCTTCTCAGATCATCACTGGACTGGAAATTTCAGACCCAGAGGGGTCTTTGCTCTTGACAGAGGGAAGCTCAGGAGCCCAGAGAAGGGGAGACCCAGCAGAGGGCACAGCCAGGGCGGGGAGAAGGCTGAGAGACACTCAAGGAAACTAGGCCAACTCCCCACCTCACAGAGGCCCCGCGGGCAGCCCCCGAAGGGCCCTGATTTCTGAGGACACGGCCTGTGCACTGGACAGCAGACAGGCATCCCCACGGCACACACTGGCCTCACCCAGGCGGCCGCCTGAAGGACTTCCCAGCAGCTCAAGCTAGAGAAGCCTCAGGAAGGTCACAGGGCAAGCAGGCCTTCACGGGGAGCAGCAGCCGGGGGGCGCCATGCGCGAGCCCCAAGAATAAACAGCACCAGCTATTCGCTGCCGGGGGCAGCGGGCATGTGTGTGTGTGTTTCTGCTCTATGAGCCCCACCAGCAAAGGAAAATGCACTTAGTGCAGATACTCCAGGCTCTGCATGTGGAAGGTGAGGCACTGGGTAAAGATGAAGCACTGAAGAAACCCAACGTCTCGTTCCAAGCAAGACTCGGGTGACCGAGAGCTGGCGTTGCGCAGGCAGCACGGACCGGCAGGGCAGCCCCAGGCAGCTTGCAGCTCTGGTCCAGCCTCTCTCAGCAGATGTCCCCCTTGGGGGTGCTTGTCCCGGAGCTGGTGCCCCAACCTCGAGTTGATCAGTGTGTGGTCCACACGCTTTCTCCCCGAGACCTGTCCACTCACTGACACCCCGCCCTCTGCACCCGGCCTCTGGTCACCTTCTCATCCTTGCACCCTCGTTCTGGAAGGCTGCCAGGCCCGGCCTTCCGGTCGCAGGGCAGATGACCTGTGTGACGGATGCAGCAGTGGTGGGGAGGGGTGCCCTGGTAAGGATGGGGCTCTGTGCCTGGCTGAAGGTCCATTGCAGACATCACGAGTTACGTTCTGGGGGTTCCCCCATCAGGATCACCTGGAGGGCTGGAGGAGCCCCAGCCTCTCACCAGCCAATTTGGGGCCGGGGGACACGAGCTGATTCTGACATGGTCTCTGGAGGCCGGAGCTGCTGCTGGGCTGGGGCGGACACTGAGAACCACCCCTGCTCCAGCCCACGCACCGGAAACTTGAAAATGCCGATTCCAGAAGAGTCCCTGCAGCAGCTCGGGGAGGAACCCCACGTGTCTGGCTTAGGTACGTGGTGTCAGACTCGACCTGGCCAGGTGTGTGCCCACTGCCCGCCCTCTGCCCGGAAAAGGTCAAGGAGCCTTCGACTCCATGGGTTTTTGGAGGCAAAACGTGAGCTCCTGGTGAGCTGAGCCCCGCTATCCAAGAAGGTCTCTGTCCTTCCCAGCTGAGCCTGCCCCACGGGGGCCGGTCGGGGGGACCAGCCAAACCCTGTCTATGGAAAGCCTTGAGTAAGAGGGAGTCCCACTCACTGGGTGGGGGGCAGTCACCCCCATCCAAGTAAGAAAGGCCAGCGGCCTCGCTGCCCCGTGGCCCTTCTCTTGGAGAACTCTCTTGAGTGTCTCTTTACAATAACAACAATTGTGTTCACGCCACAACGTCAGGTGGGAGGCAAAAAGGCAGGATGTGCGGCTGTATGCAGGGCAGCACCACAGGGCGCCAAACAAAAACTGTGCACGCAACACCCGGAAGGAAGCACGGAACGCATTTAAGGGATTGTCTCTGGGCGCTGGGACGAGGGTGTTTCTTTCTTTTCTCGCTGCATGTTTGTTTCCCAAGCTGCACGGAAAGAGCGCTGAGTAAGGAGGCGAGAACTTAACTGGACGTGACAATAAATCGGAAGGAAAAAATACACAGCGGAACGTGGCCCACACCTACCGGAGGCGGCCCACTGGCCCCGCGACGGGGCCGGAGCGGCTGGGCCTCTGGGGACACCGATGGGGGGCGGGGTGGGGGCCAAGGCCGCCGGTGCTTGTGGGGCCTGCCCCGCCCTCAAGGGCTGACAGTGCAGCAGAAACAAGGGGTAGCTCCCCTTCGGCCTGGGGGTCCGCCTTTCCTCCCCACAAGGCTTCCCACCTTCTGGAACGATACCGAGCGCCCCAAGAGCAGCAAACCAGCCCCAAGGCGACAGTCCAAAGGGGATGGTGAGGCCCTGCTGCCCGGCCTAGACAGGAGCCATCAGAGGTGCGGGTCCCCACTGGCCCACAGCCCGCAGGACAGGCGGGCACGTGTGAGGTCAAGCGACCCAAGCCGGTGCCCCGGGCTGCTCACGCCGAGCTGCAGATCCCCGCCCCGGACCTCACCGCGGCCTCAGAGGACACCAGCTCTCAGCCACCCCTGCTGGCGTTAGTGCTGCCTGCCCTGGCCCTGCGCGGCCCCTGTGATTCCTGCCACTCTCGGGCTGGTGTTCTCGCCTCCTGGCCTTGACTCGTCTGTACCCTGGTGACGCAGACCCGCATCCCAGCAGGCGTGGAGACGCTACCCGGGCAGACGGAGCACAGCGCTCAGCCTCCACCTCTGCTCCTCCCCACGGCCCTCACATTTGGAAATTCAGTTGCTCACCAAAGCCCCACTCAGGTGTCACCTCCTCCAAGAAGCCTTCCCACCCCCCCACCCCCCCCCGCAGACTGGATTGGGCAACTTGTGTCTGACCCGTCAGCACCACCCGCTCCCCCTGGTCCTGGGCACACACCCGCTGGTTAGCACACAAGGTGCCTACAGACAGGGCCGAGCACCCGCTGCACAGCCACCAGCAGCCCCTCCACGCTCAGACCCCAGTGGGCAGCAATGCCACCCTCACCCGCTTCCGGGCCTGTAGCTGTTGCGAGGGAAGCCCTTGCAGAAACCAGGTGCCTACAGCTTGTCCGGCCGGGACAAGGAAACAAAGTCACAGCCCCACGATCCAGCCCTCGCAGCCTCCCGCGGACCCCGGTCCTCGGTGCAGTGGGCACTGGTCACTCACGGGCTGGGGCTTGCTCTCAGCCTCCCAGAGGCTCTGCTTCAAGAGCTCCCGGTGTGGGCCACCAACCATCCACGGGCCGCTCACTGAACGAGCACGCGGGCAAAGCACCCCCAACCCTAAAACCCTCCCAAGCAACCTGACCCCAACAGCAGGAGGATGGAAGCCGCCATCTCAGAAAACCCGGCCGTGTCTCCTCCCTGTCCCATCCTCTCCCAAATGCCTGTGGAATCAGGACAGGAGCAGAGACCGCGGCCCTGGGCAGAAGCTGGTCCTGCACGCAGCCCGGCGGCAAAGCGCAGACGCCGCCGGCAGCCCATCGGGCACTGCCCCCAGGAGACCGCCCCGAGGCAGAGCGCGGGCCATGGCGGCCACCCCCAGGGCTTCCGTCCACCTGCAGGGAGCTCGGGACCCTGGAGATGCCCCGAATCCCAGAACCAAGATTAAACCCAGGGCGCTGAGACAGAGTCTGGCCAAGGTGAATGCCCGGCATGAGAGGAAGAGCAGCGGTTCTCCAGCGGTGTTCCCTGGGGTCCTGGGAACCCAGATCTGGAGGGAGCAGAGGACAAGAGGGTCCCTCCACCACCAAGCCAGTCAGTCACTGGGCCTCCACCAGGGGTCTCAGGAAATGCACACGTTCACTGAAACAGTGTCACTGCTAAGAAAAAGCCTGAAAACCAGGACTCCGAGCCGCACTTTGAGGCGCCCAGCTTCAGTGCATTTCCCATCAGAGCGGGGCCGACAAAGATCACGACCACGCGGGCTCTCGGCAGAACCCCCAAGGCTGGCACGCGGATTTAGCAGGCCTTCCCTGCAGGCCTGCGGGCCCGCCCCGCTCTGAGGCATGGCCAGTCCTCATGCCACCCGCGGCCCCCATGCTCCCGCCTGCAGGCAGGGGCCCTCTGACGATGTTCTCAGCCCAGAGACAGCCCTTCTGTGGTGCCTAAGATTGGCCTAGTGTAGGGTAAATGGTTGTCAGGCTTTTCTGCCCTCCTGCCCTTAGGATTGCCCTGCCTGCATTTGTCACATTGCCGACAGTTGTGTTGTTTACTTCTGTGGGCCCTGGCAGCAGTATTGATATATTCGCCCGGAGAAGCAGAGGCAGGTGAGAGAAAAAGGCAGGAGGAGAGCCAGCCCAGTAAAGAGTGAAGGTTCGCCAGGGGCTGGGAGGCCTGCCAGCCTCCTGGCCCCCGGGGCACCCCTGCCTGGCGTGTACCTGGTTACTGCACTATATGTAAAAGCTCAATAAAAGCCTGAGAGAGCCGCCGAGGGCTCTAGGACTCTCCTTCACCGTCTGCTCGGATCAGAGAGAACCTGCTATGTCCCTGTCCTGGCACGACACGTGGACAGAGGCACTGAGCTGCAGGCAGCACCCCCACAGGACGCCCCTCTTCCAGGAGCCCGTCCAGCAAGTCTCCAACGGAATGCAGGCTTGGGGCCCCAATTGCAAATCGAGGCACCTCTCCGGGGCCCCAAGGCACTACACCATGCCTTGCTCCAGCCCAAGAACAGCCGCAGGACAAAGCCACCCAACATCTGACCGTTCTCTGGTGCCCCCAAAACAGACTCAAGTGAGCACACGCCAAGCACCAGCAGGCAGAGGCCCTGACCACTCCCTCTGGGCTCCCTGTGGTGAAATCATCCGAGGGCCACCGGCCAGACGCAGAGCCCCGCTCCTGGGGAGCCGAGATCTGTCCTTACCTGGTAGTAGGTCTTAATGTTTCTCACCAAGATGGTCAGGTTCTGAATGCGAAGGTTCACGTCATTGTTCACATGCTTGTTGATGCGCTGGTTTGTCGGCCTGGGGTCTCTAGGGGAAGAAACACCACAGTGAAAATTACATCTCCCCGAACCTGCCCACCTCCTCCCCCAGCTGTGATGGAGCCTTTAGTTCTCTGAGTCCAGACTCCCATGAGGCTGGGCCCAGTGTGGGTGAAGTCAAATCCTAATTCAGCCACCGCACCTCCTGCTCCCCCGCCACGCCCCCAAGCCCATGATCAGTGCTAAGTCCATTCCTACTGTTAGCAGCACCTGCCAACCACCACCATGTCACAGCAGACCCCGAAAGTTACATTATATAAAGAGATCACTAACCTCCCCCCAAAACATGCCAGGATGAAAAGCTGAACAAACCAAAGCATGTGAAATGTCAAGCTAGAGAGTGGAGAGGGAAGGTGCACTCGCTGGTGTAATAAACAAGCAAGATGAAAAGGTTCCATTTCGCAGCACCCCCCTCCTGTCACCAAATTGCTGGTCCTGCCTGCAATTTACATTCCAGGGGCACAATGCAATCCTGACAACCCGACATCATCAGTCTGACACCACAGGGCGCACAATGCACCCTCGAAAAAATGCTACGAGTAAAGACACAAATAATTCATGTGGGAAACCCCCAAAGTATCATTTATTTTCCAATCTCAGGCAAAAGTCAGGACCGGCTGAGATGAAACTCGCAATCTGAATGAAGTGATGCATAATGTCACTCATCAGGACATTTTTTGAAATTCTCTGCCAAAAACTGTTTCCCACTTGAAGAGAACAGACGGATTTAGCTCAAATCCCACCTCCTCGTGCACAATGATGCTTTTCACATCAAAGCTCTCCTTCCCTGTCTCGTGAAGGAATTCAAATGAGGACCTGCCTGCAGGGTTTCATCTGTCAGCTGAGCCCTGGGGTGCTGAGCCGCCAGGGCTGGAGGAGGGGAGACAGTCACGAAGTTCCCGGAGGGAGAGCGCAGGGGTGAGCCTGGGGAGCGGAATGCAATCCCAGCGCTGGCTCATCCAAAGCCAACGAAGAACGCACAACTGCCAAATGAGAGACCACTGCAAATGTACTAGGACAATTCTCATTTTTGGAAACACACGTTATTTAAAAGTCAACCATTAAATAAATATTGGATGACGACGCAGAGTCCCTCCGTTGCGTTGTGTCTGCAAACCCCTCTATGCTTTACATTCAATAATCGGCCATGAATTTTCTCCAGTTGTTAGGGGGAAAAGGCTGTCCCAAAGCAAATTCCATATAGGCTTTGTGGACTCCACCCCCACCCCAGGCCAAAGCCAAAGACACTGGGAACTCCACATCCCATCCCCACCCAAGGGAAGGGGGCTGGGACCTGAGGGTGGGGTTCAGCAGCCAGGTGGATACAAAAGGCAGACACGTGGGCTTTGGGGGTCCCCCATTTTGGCTCTCGGCCAGCTCGCAGCGTCCGGCCAGCTCTGAGAGTGACTTTGGGTTTCCAGGTCGGCGGATCGGGGAGGACGCATGAAAGACTTTATTTCCCTATTTTCTCCCTGAGTTGTCCATTTTCCTTATTTCCTTTTCTCTTGTAAATAAACCTTTTATTAACCCTTTGGCGTGTGTCTGTAGTAGAGTATTCATAAGTCCCGTTAAAGCGCGCGGGTGAGGACCCACAGCCAGGAACCCGTTTAATATCGGGGTTGCTCTATAACACAGTCACCCTGCATCCACCCCTCAACAGGCGCACAGGTACTTTGGCACGACCAGAGGACCCTTTTCAGTTGTCACGTGCCAACATTTCTTATTGTCCCCACACGGTAATGGAGCCTGGCCAAGCCATCTGCACGTTACATGTTGCTCTTGGAGCCATTCATCCCTGAGAAAATAAAGGTTAAGAGTTCAGTGGAAATTAATTTAGGAACAGAGGCGGCATTCGGTGGCTAAACTGCAAAGGCATTTTTAAGCTACAGATCGCACCAAGCCGCACAACAAAACAATTTATCTGAAAGACGCAGTTCTCTCCCCGCACTACAGCCACCTTAACAGACGAGCAGCACTTTCAGTAAGTGGCCCATGCGCGTCTTCAAGCAGCAGAACTTAGAGAACAAGCAAGGCTTGTTCCGCGTCGTTGTTGTGGTCACAGCCCCAGCTCCCGCTCAGCCAGGTGGGACCACCCCAGGGCCGCCGGGAGCCAGGGGGCCTGGGCACAGCCGGGGGACTCCCTGCACGTGCCAAGGCCCAGCACACACCCAGCGCCCGGTCCTGGGCATCCCAGAGACAGCAGGGGAGCCTCCGAAGGCCCTGCCTCTGCTCCTCCCCAGTTCGGGGCAGCAATAAGCCAGCAGGAACGATACTCCCGAGAGCCTCACCATTTACTACGCTCCTTTCTGTCGCTAAGGCTCTCATAGTAAAGACAGGTTGTTCGGAAACAAATTGAAGCAAAAGCCAAGTGTGTGAAGGACGGGCTGCCCCGCTGTGGCCCGCACCATGGGCTCCCCACCTCTCCAGGAAGCTGGACAGGAGACAGGGGTTCCGGTACTGGCCCAGGCTTTCTGGACTCCAGTGTGCTCTTCTGCAAAAGGACCACAGGACCCTCCCAGCCCTAAAAGGCCAGGTCTGCACTGGCCAGCTTGGGCTCTGCTTGGCCCAGTACTCCAGGAAGAGGACATCGTTATGACCAAGTACAACTGTGTCCCCCCCGAGCCGTCATTCACAAGGACCTTCTTCACAATTAGCCCCGGAACACAAAAGCTCCAGTCCCGCAGCAGGCTGCTGGCACAGCAGACACACAGGGACGGGCATCTGGTGGCTTGTCCCAACTCAGAGACCCAAGCCCAAAGTGTGGGGCCCCTCGGGCTTCCTTCCCATAAAAGTGTCTAACTAGACAGCAGGCGCTCAACCCTTCCTAGAACTTTTAAAGCAAAAGTTATAATTTCGGCTTATGCCAAGCAGGCCAGTCCCCAAGTTTTCAATCCTGTTCCAAAGACTTCTTAAAGTTAAAACTGAATCCAGAAACTACGTACTAACACAGATAAAGGGGGTGTCTATAGTACCAGAAGTCGATAAAGAAAGACGTTCAAAAGCTGCAGCATGGGGTGCCGTTCGTAGAAAACCACATTAGGAACATACAGTATCATGGAGACCATCAGCAACATCCGGAAGGCCCCAGAATATCAGCATAGCCACCTCTACACCATCAGACTACAGTGATATATATTTCTCTCATCTCTATGACACCCAGAAAGAGTGTCCCTGGTGATACAGGGGTTAAGTCTCGGTGCTATCACCTCTACGGCCTGAGTTCAATCCCTGGCCAGGGAGCTCCCCACACGGCGCGGCAGACCTCCCCTGGCTCCCCGCTGCTCCCCTCAGCAGTGGGTTTCAGTCAGTCTGCCTGTTCTGTTCCCCGCTCTGTCTCTGGCCTACACCCCAATTCTTCTATGCAACGAACAAATAAATCCTTAAAAAAACCGTCACAATCAAAAAAACGGGCCGCGATCAAAAAAGGCAACCACCGAAGTTGCCAAATAAAATCTTTCTGGCTCCAAACATTCTGTGTCCACACACTCCCATTCAACTAACAATTATTCGCCCTTATTATCCTCAACTCTGACACGTGCAGAATGGAAACAATTCCTCCCGCACACGCTGCGGAGAAACTGCCCTTCAACCGACTTCAGAAGCTCGGAGCTCCCCTGCTGGATAGTGACTAGGCTTTCCAGGATTTTGCAGCAGTGCAGGGGCTAGGAGGGGGCCTGGACGAAGCAAACAGCTCTGGGTTTTCAGGGAGCCGTAAGTGCGCACAGCTCTCGGCTCCCTCCCCACGTCCCCGGCTGCACCCCACAGTTGTCACAGCCAGTCAGAAAGTGTCCACGCTCACAGATGGACGACGCCAGCACACGGACGCCCAGCGCCCGGCTCCCTCCAACGATGCTGATGACTGACGTCGGTTGGGCGTTTTCCACAGGCGTAATCTGGTTTAATCCTCCAAGTCTATTAAAAAACCCATCCCCTTATTACAGATCAGGAAATTGAGGCTTAGAGAGTTTAAGTAACTTGCCCGAGGTAACAGGGCCAGTAAGTGGCAGAGAGAGGATCTGAACTCGTCCGCCTGATGCCAGAGTCATCGCGCTGCCATGACCGCCCTGCCAGACGGCGACATGTGTCCAGAGTGACTCAGAGACCTTGTTTTCCCCGAGTCCCTACCAGCAGACACGCGGAGACCCGGGGTGCACAGAGGACTTCCCAGCACATTTCCCCAGGCAGCCTCATGCACGCCACTCAAGGCCTCACTTTCATTCGGGAATTCTAGACCTGGGCCTCCCCGGAAAGCTGAGCCCACTGGGCTTTACTGCTGCCAGGCACTGATGTCAGCGGGACAGACGGGCCCTGCAGCCTTCCTCAGGTGCCAGACAATGGCCCAGGTATAGTCACGTGACCGCCAGCCAGTTTCCATATGGCGCTGAAGTGTCAGGTAACGCGCCTTTTATCTGCACGCCTGGCCAGCTTTCTGCTCCCTGCAATTTTCTCAGGTTCAACCAGTTGGGGGGAATTTATCAGAGAGGCCCACAGCACACAGAACTTCTCGAGATAAGGCGGACGGCGCGATCTCCCAGGACCCTAGTCGGCCTGCCATCTCTCCAGTGCGCACCAGTGAAAACGGGCTGAACTCAGTGTTGGGGGAGCCGGGGCTTGGGTCCGGGAGCCCCTAGACCGAGGGAAGGGGAGAGGGCTAAGGTTCACACAGAAACCCAGGAGATTAAGAATGGGGGAGACTGTTAGACTGGGGGGGAGAAACACCTACTGGGGTGCCTCCAGTCCCTTCTGGCTGAGGGGGCACACCCCAAACAGACACCAGGCAAGTGAGAGGCCCGTCCTGTCCGCACAACCCTCTCTTCAGGGAGCTTCTCCACTTGCCACTGCAGACGGGGGCTGGTACCAGAGGCCCAGGAGAGGTCTGCCCCCCCACGTGGGACTCCCCCTAGCCGACCGACCGGAATCGAACCTGCGCTGCAGAGGCTGCCCACAGCTTCACAGCGCGGCGCGCTCAACCGCCTGCGCCACCGGGGAGGCCCGGGAGCTCTTTTTTTTGAATTCTCCTAATTGAGGTCATTTCTAGAGTGAAATGATAGATTTGAAGTTACAGCTGAATGGGTTTTGAAAAATGAAACCTCCCTGTCAAGTTCTAGAACATTCCCACCACCTGCAGATCCTCTGCCCCCATGAAGAGGCAGCTCCCCGCTCCCCAAACACACACAGGCAACCACCACCTGACTCTACCCCCAGCCAGGCTGCTCCAGCACCTGGCTCCTTCCTCTTCCACCTGGAAAGCCCCCCGGGGAGCCACTTCCTCTGACCCCCCAGAAGGACACAGAAGCCCAGCTGGAGGCCTTAGAGCTGCAAACTTATCTGGTTCCACTTGGGCAGGACGACCTTGGCCTGTCACCCGGAGAAAATAACAAATTGCCACGGGGAGGAGAGGGGCCCTGGGACGGCTCAGCCCCTGGCCAAGGCGAGCGGCATGAGCTGGCATTTCTCACAGGAGCAGCCACCAGGCTCCCCTGATTTACAGGCAAGTGGCAAAGGCCCGAGGAATTCCAAAGGTCAGGGGAGAAAGAGAAAGAGCCCCAAGCTTTTGTTCCCCTCTGCCTGGGTGGAAGCGCTGCATGAAAGGCTGGGACGCTGCTGGGCTTTTTAATTAAACAGTCCTGGGCTTGGGAGAGGACAGGTGGACGGCTCCCCGGTCAGAGGAGTCCAGGAATCCTGGGGTCTAACAGAATGGGGGGGGGTGGCCAGAACGGACTGTGCCCTCGTGCGCCCCGGGAACCTGGTTCCCCCAGGCCCGGACCGGAGGCAGGTGTGTCCAGGGAGAAGCTGATCCAGCACCGGGCTGGGGCAGGCGGGTGCCGGCAACGAGATGAAGACCCAGCGTCCCCCCACAGCGCCGCGCCGCAGGACTTCGGGGGACCACAAGGAGCTGCGTTCTGGGGGATTCTGCAGCAGCCCCGCGGAGGGGCGTCTGTTTGAACCACTTTCTGACTAGGCCCGAGCCAAGGGCTGCTGCTCCTCCCCGCCCCAGAGGAAGCGCCTCCTTAGGCCGGGGGTTCGGGCTCGCGGGTGGCAAGCGGCCTGGGCCGGGGCAGGTGAGCTCAGGGGGGCTGGCCCGGAGCCCCAGGACGCGCACTGCTGCAGGTGCCCGTGAAGCTCCCCCGGGCGGCTCCGGCGGCCCGGAGGCGCAGGCGGGCTGTGGGGACACGCGCGGGAGGATGTGGTCACCCGCGAGCAGCTGCAGCGGCCCCGGGCCCTGCTCGGCTCCCCAGACAGAGGGCCCGGGGCGCCCGCCCCGCCTGCCCCCACTCCCCGAGGGGGTGGGTTTGGATCCGCTTCCTGGGAAAGCTCCCAACCAGCCGCCTGGAGCGCCCGGGGGGTGAGGACGGAGGAAGGGGCTGGAGAGACCCGAGGGCGCCCACAGGTGCCCGGGGCCCCCCAGCTTCCTGCCCGGACGCCGCCTCGCCCCAAGGCGGCTTTTCTCTTCCTGACTCGGAAGCTCCGAGCAGCCCGCGACCCCAGGCCCTCCTCGGGGAACCCCACGCCCGGCCCAGGGCGGCAGGAGACGCCCGGCCCGGCCCGGCCCACGTGCCACGACCCCGCGTGCAGCGCCCCGGGCCCCCCGACTCACATCTGCAGCATGATCTGGTTCAGGACGACGCCGTCCGCCAGGTCCATGAAGGCGGCCAGCTTGTCCGCGGGGCCGCCGCCGCCGAGGGGCCCGAAAGTTCTCACCTGCGGGGGAGGCGCGGGGTCACCCGGCCGGCCGCGTCCCCGGGCGGCCCGCGCGGGGGGTCCGGGGCGCGGGGGCCCCCTCGCCGCCCCGCGGCCCCTGGGCGAGCCTGCCCGTGCCCCCGTCCCGGGACGCCGGGGAGCGCCGCGCCCCCGCCCGCGCGCCCCCCCGCCCCGCCCCCGGCGCCCGTCTCGGGGTGCAGCCGCGGCGGGAGGGCCGGGGCGCGGCCCCCCGAGTCCCGCCCGCCGCCCCGGGAGCAGGTGCAGCGCCCGGCCCGGAGGGGCGCGGGGCGCGGGGGGCGCGGGGGCGCGGGGCGCGGGGCGCGGGGCGCGGGGCGGGGCTCACCCAGGCCACCAGCGGGCTCTGCAGGAAGAGCTCCAGGAGCTCCGACACCGTCGCGTCCATCCCGCCCGCGCCCCGCCGGCTCCGCGCCCGCCCGCCCGGCGCCCCGCGCGGCACAAAGCGGCCCCGGCGGCCGCGGCGGCGCCCAGACAAAGGCGGGGCCCGGCCTCCCGGCGGCGGGGAGCCGGCGCCCCGCCCGGGCCCGAGGGGCGGCGCTCGGGGCGGATCGGCGCGCGGCCCCGCCCCGAGGCCCCCGGCGGCCCGAGCCCCGCGGCGCCCCCTCCCGCGGCCCCCCGCTCCCCGCGCGCCCCCTCCCGCGGCCCCCGCCCCCCGCTCCCCGCGCGCCCCCTCCCGCGGCCCCCCGCTCCCCGCGCGCCCCCTCCCGCGGCCCCCGCCCCCCGCTCCCCCCCTTCCCGCGGCCCCCCGCCCCCCGCGCGCCCCCTCCCGCGGCCCCTCGCCCCCCGCGCGCCCCGCCCCCGCGCGCCCCGGCACGTGGCTCTCCGCGCGCCTCCGGGCGACCTGCGCCCCCGCCCGCCCGGCCGCCGCCGCGCTGGGGCGCCCGGGGCGCCCGGAGCCCCCGAGACCCGGCAGGTGCAGCCCGCGCGCCCCGGGGCCCCGAGCTGAGCGGGCGTTGGGGCTCCCCGGGCGCCGGGGCGGCGGGCGGGGAGGGGGAGGCCGGGCTGACACCCCGCGCCGGCGGCTTCCCGGGCCCCAGAAACTCGCGGGCTCCCCCGCGGCGCCCCGGGCGGGCGAGAGAAACAGGGGGGCCCCGCTGAGAGCCGCGTCCTCTCGCCCCGAAAGGCCGGGGACACGCGCCCCGCGGCGGCGGCTTCCCCGCCGGGAGAGGCTGCGGGCTCCGGGCGGGGCGTGGCGGGGCCTGGGCGGCCGCGCGGGGAAGGCGCCGGCCGGGAACCCGGGACGCGTGGCTCGGGGTCGGGCGACTCCATGCGTCTGTGCAGGGCACTTCCAGACGCGCTTTTTTTTTTTTTTTTTTAAAGATTTATAAGAACCGGGGTGCAGGCCAGGGGCACAGGGGGGCGAGAGGATCCACCAGAGCCAGAGCGGGGAGCAGAGCAGGCAGAAGGACCGAAGGACACTGCTGAGGGGAGCAGCGGGCGGCAGGAGAGGTCTGCGCGCCATGCGGGACCCTCGCCCGGCAGCTGGGGATCGAACCGGCGCTGCAGAGGCTGCGGGCAGCTTCACAGTGAGGTGCTTAACCCGTTGCGCCACCAGGGAGGCCCAATATTAATATATATTTTTAAATTTTTTTTAAAGATTTATTTCTTTTTATGTAAGAGCTGGGTACAGGCCAGATGCGCGGGAGGGTGCGAGGAGTCACCAGAGCCAGAGCGGGGAGCAGAACAGGCAGAAGGACAGAAGGACACCGCTGAGGGGAGCAGCGGGGAGACAGGAGGGGTCTGCGGCACCATGCGGGACCCTCCCCCGCGGCGGGGATTGAACCCGCGCTGCAGAGGCCGCGGACGGCTTCACAGCGCTGCGCTCAAGGGCTTGCGCCGCCAGGGAGGCCCCAATATGAATATTTTTAACACATCACTTGGATGTGTTACGTGTTCCCTCTTACTATGTCTTCTTTAATTTCTTTCAAGAATATTTTGTTGTTTTCAAGTCTTTTTTCACCCCTTTGGTTAATTCCCAAGTATTTTATTCCTTTTGATGCGCCTCCCTGGTAGCCCAGGGGTTGAAGACACAGCACTGTCAAGCTACGGCCAGCCACGGCAACATGAGTTCGATCCCCGGCTAGGGAGCCAACAACCCACAGGGCACAGCAGACCCGTCTTGCCCACTGCGCCCCTCAGCAGTGTATTCAGTAGATCCCCCTGTGCTGCTCCCCACTGCCTCTGGTGAATCCCCTCATACACACACCCCACTTCTGGTCTACACCCCCCTTCTTGTATACATAAATAAAGAAAATCGTAAAAAAAACACAAAAACTTGATCTTGAAAAATATATGTCGAATATTCCTGCGGGGTTTGTCACATAGGCTCTTTAAGTGGTCAGTTCTCAGTGGAATTTAACTTTGTGCCTCCCTTTGAATTTTAAAGGTTTAATTTAAATACAGCCCTTTAAGAATATATTTCCACATAAATCAGTATAAAATAATAAAATATAAACACATGGAGCAGAAATTATATTCTCTGATAATTTTATATTCCATCACAGATCTAACATTTCGGAACATTCTCAAAAAAATAATATTGTCAAATTCAGGAATAAAATAATGAACATGGGGTGCTTTGGGATTTAATGCACAAGAGAGTGTTCCCACCTGTTCTTCACGCATGGCAGAATGCCACGTTGGGAGATGTTTCAACAAACTATTTCAAAGAAAAAGAATTTTTTTTCAGAGAACAGAAAACAATTCACTATAGTTACCAAAGCTGAAGTCGAAAGATTACATTGAAAACCAGGAAGCTCAAACAAACATATTTTTCTTTTTTAAGATTTATCAATCTATGCATACAAGAACAGGCCACAGGGGTAGGGAGTGAGAGGATTCACCAGAGACAGAGTGGGGGACAAAACAGGCAACTGACTGAAACCCACTGCCGAGGGGAGCAGCGGGGAGACAGGAGAGGTCTGCCGCGCCCTGTGGGTAGCTCCCTGGCCCGGCCTCCAACTCACGCCGCGGTGGCTGCGGATCGCCTCACAGAGCTGAAACGTAACTCCTGTGCCACAAGGGAGGCCCCCTTCAATGTTTTTTTGTAAGGGATGCCTCGTTGAAAATTTTTTCAGCTTCTGTCTGGAAAAGTTCTTATTTTTCTCGCATATCCGAAGCGAAGTTTTGCAGGACCAGGTATTCTTAGCAGGCAGTTTTTATCTGTGAGTATTTTAAACATGTCATTCCACTCTGCTTTTCTGCTGAGAAGTCTGGTGAGACGTCCTAGATGCACTAGTATGTTCTCATTCAGCCTCTCATTTATTCTGTCTTCTCTTCAAAGTGGGCTCTTGGTCTTCCTTGGGACGGCAATGGGATTGGTTTTCACCAAAAAGAAGTCACTCTCTATCCTTTCTGCAAGTCGCTCAAGGATTCCAAAGGCAAATTTTCATGGGTGTTGAGTTTCGTGGCACTCCTAACTCAGTGTGAGCCGCTAGAAGCATCCTGGAGGCTGGTTAACAAAAAGCATGTCATTATTTCCTCACCTTCCTCTAGAGTAGGGCTTTAAAAAATGGATTTGGGGGCCTCCCCGTTGGCGCAGCGGTTGAGCCGCCCGCTGCTCCCTCACCAGTGTACTTTGTCAGTCTGCCTGCTCTGCTCCCCGCTCTGGCTCTGGTGAATTCTCTCACCCTCCCACGCTTCTGACTGCACCCAGTGCTTGTATAAATAAATACATAAATCTTTTAAAAAAAATGGATTTGGAAAAACTGATGTAGCAATTTCAGAATCACAATAGCATTGATTTGCCTTTTCCCTGCAGAAGAGCTGAAACACATTACAACATGAGGACATTTAATCGTAGAATCAAGTGTTAGTTTTGAGTGATCACATTTCCTGGGCTCTTGATCTTTCAGTGGTAAAATCCATGTCTTTTTTTATTCCTGAGAGAGTACCACTGAATCAGTCTGGCCAATCTATTGATCTGTGCATACCTTACCACCACCTGTGCTGCTGTACTAATAGTTATGCAAAGAGAATCCCGTGAATCTGGCTCTACCTTCTAGGAACTCACAGCCCAAATCCATTACATTATACATTAAATCAGGGCCTCCCTGGGGGTGCAGGGGTTAAGTCTCAGCAGCCACTGCAGTACCAGTTCGATCCCTGACTAGGGAGCTACCCACAGGGTGCAGCAGACCGCTCCTGTCTCCTTGCTGCTCCCCTCAGCAGTTTCACTAGATCTTCCTGTTCTGCTCCCCACTGTTTCTGGTGAATCCACTCACTGCCCCCCACCCCACACCGCTGGCCTACACCTCAGCTCTGTATGCATAAATAAATCTTCTAAAAAAAAAATAAACATCAGACCAATAGATGAGTGGTCTGTGAAATCCATAGTCACGGCTAGGTCCAACGACAAAAGGTGTCTGCGCTCACGTGAGAATACCTGTGATCAAAAGATCAGTTCGTTATCGGTACTGGAGCCCAGAAAGGCTTAAGTGGAGTGTTGGGAGTTACTGAAATGACTCCGGTTAGTAGTAGTAGTAGTGGTGGTGGTACTAACAAGGGAGTATCTTAAGTTCATAAATTACCCTAAGGCCCAAATGTGCCAAGGATAAGAGAGATCTTGAGTCCCCTCTGTTTCTATCCACAGAGGGAATTTTATAGTCGAATCAATTTAAAAAAAAAGATTTATTTATGCATACAAGAACTGGGGTGCAGGGCCTCCCTGGTGGCGTAGATGGTTGAGCGCAGCGCTGTTAAGCTGTCCGCAGCCTGTGCAGCGCGGGTTCGATCCCAGCCTGCTGGGGAGATAAGGTGCAGCAGACCTCTCCTGTCTCGCCCCCCGCTCCCCTCAGCAGTGGGTTTCAGTTCGTCTGCCTGTTCTGTTCCCCACTCTGTCTCTGGTGAATCCTCTCACCCACCTCCACCCCCACTTCTTTTTTAAAAAAAGATTTATTCATTCATGCATACAAGAACCGGGGTAAATAAACCAGAGGTGCAGGAGGGTGAGAGGATTCACCAGAGACAGAGCGGGGAACAGAATACGTAGATGGACTGAAATACTCTGCCAAGGGGAGCAGTGGGGAGACAGGAGAGGTCTGCTGCGCCATGTGGGTCACCTCCCTGGCCAGGGGTCGAACTAGTGCTGAAGTAGCTGCGGATTGCTTCATAGTGCTGAGGCTTAACCCCTTATGCCACAGGGAGGTCTCTGGAATCAAACTCTTGATGGTGTACTGTTAGGTGAGTTAGCGAAGCCTTTCCGTTGCAGTGTGAAGTGTTTCCTTCACTTATTCAGTAAACATTTTGGCTCTCCATGAACGGGCCAGTTATGCTCTTGATAGAAAACTGGGGAGGAAAAGATCAAAGATAAAGTCCCTTTCCTTCAAGAGAACAGAGTATTAGAATGTTCCTGAAGGTTGAATGAGTTCTTCAGCAGGCAAGGCA